GGGGGGGGGGGGGGGGGGGGGGGGTGCATAAAGCAAACATTTGGACGACGGAACAGCATGAGAAACGCCACAACGAAAATTGAAAATCAAAATCGAAATCCGTTTTCCGTAATTCAAGAAACAGTTGATTCAAATCGATTATTTTCCGGCGTATTTTTTTATTTCGATGACAAGAAACGAAAATCGAATGTAGCATTTCGTTTTTGAATTGCATGAAAAACCAAAAACAAAAACCTAAAATCTAATTTCGTTTTTTAATTACTTGGAAAACGGTTGGCCCTTTCATCAATTCATGATCTGTCCTGTTTTGTGTTCTAGAATATTTTTCTAAATTGAAAAACGAAAACACGAGTTTGACGACTGATTTTCGTTTTTCAGAGTCTCGAAAAACCAATGGCCCTTAGATACACGCATTAGTTGGCCCACTGTTGTTTATCATCTATGTAAACGAAATACCGGACGAAACCACTCACAGCAAGACACGGATGTTTGCTGACGACAGTAAGTGCTACAGACAAATTACCTCGACTGATGACGAACAATTGCTCCAACGCGATATTAACTCACTTCAAGAATGGTCTGTCGTGATGCGGTTTACAAGGAAGAAGAATATTATGCCAGCCAATTACCACCTTGCTAATGAAGAAATAAAGAGTGTAAATATCCATAAAGAGCTCGGGATATTCATCAGTGATGACCTAAAGTGGTCAAATCAGATTGCCCATGTGGTTGCTAAAGCCAATCGAATGCTGGGATTCTTAAGACGCCATTGTACGCAGCTCACCAACATCCACTGCCGTCGCCTGCTATATCTGACATTAGTAAGATCTCACCTGTCTTACGGTAGTGATATTTGATCACCCCAAGAATCATCGCGAGACCTCGTTTTAATAGAAGGCATTCAAAGACGGGCAACAAAGTTCATCACGCAAGACTACCATTCCTCATACCCTTCCAGATTGAAAAGTTTAAATTTACTGCCAATCTCCTACTGGTTTGAAATTAAAGATCTAACATTTTACTATAAATGCAAATCTGGTGGCTACGAA